TTTATAATAAACTGGATGCCTATTTCTTTCCTATTGTTACTTTCCTTTCCTTGATTGAGTGTACATTTCTCAGTTGATTTGATAAACATTTAATTGATATTTTGTCAATCTACTGATCGAGATTAAAAAGTTGGACGTTTGAGATCTGATTAAATAAACAGTTTAACTTCGCCACATTTGCACGCGCCTGTCCCAAGTAGAAACATTGTCTTTATTCAAATGCATTGTCAGATGTCAGATAAACATGTTAATCGTTATGTGGAGAGTTTAGATATCAATAACAGGTCTTTGATTGGTTCTGTTAAATTTATTCATAATTTTTTTCACCTCGGAACGCTTTAAAGTTTGACATAAAGTATGGACACTTGTCTGTAGTTAAAGATTGTATTGGTTATTTTTGTCCCTGGGATGATGTATCATCGACCTTATATCACTGACATATACCTACATCTCCCTTTATTCATATTTTGAATAAAGAGGATGATCTTCTAGTATTTGATGCTTCTCTGTAAAGGATGCGACACTCAGGAGTCTGGTAAGTCTGGTAAGCTTGGAGTCAGAATAATGTGTTACCAGATAGAGTTAGTATGTTTGCTCCGTGTTGAAAGCCTCACTGTGACTTTGAGATGAAGAACAGCAATAAAAGCGCTGTGACTTTGCTTTTTGTGTGTGTTTTTTTGTTGTTGCTGTGCATGTACTGATATTTTGTCATGGATGGATACCCCATATCCTTTGTTTTTCAATTAAATATATTCAAGTCAGCTGTTTCTCTCTGACCTAATACAATTAATACATCAAGTTCAGCGTATCGGTCTAGTGCAAAAAAGTTTCTTGTTTTTATCAGTAATTGTGATTGTCATGAATATGAAAAAGTTGCTGCTGGACGTTAAGCATTTCAATCAGTTACGTTTTTCTAAGTTACATGCTAGTAACTATGGTGAAAGCGTGAAGTCCTGTCCAATTTTATTTGGAAGATATCAGTAGTACAGCTTGTATACTTGAGCATCCACATCGTACGGTGAGCATTATTCATCATACAAAATTATCCCCTTATGGAGGGCTTCCACATCCACTTTTTTTAATCTGCTACGCAAAAGGATACACGAGACTGTTGGTTGAATTTCCTGTCAATATGAAAATGTTTTAAGAATTTTCCTTATTATTCAAGACTTTGGGAACTTAGTCATTTTCCAGGAAAATTTACCAAAAACAATGGTTCCTATTATGAGTACTTTACTCTATTTGTTTTCAACCAAGATCCTTGAAACTTCACAGACAGATTGCCCATATGTATATACGTTGTGTTCCTGCTATTATGGAATTTGTTTGGGGATTTCAGTTTCCCCGCAATCTATAGTTCCCCACTTTTTTCCTTTGTAGAATTGTTCACAAAGATTAATATATGATTATTATCGTTGTTCTCGCACAACGTCTATTGTTTTAATATTGTTTTTCATTACCATCAATTTGAATTCGCTACTAAAATATTTAGATTCATTGAAGTAAGGCTGAAATACTTCTTTTTTTATTTTTCTTTAATGAAATTCAATTTAAAATGTACGTTTAGCATTGCACAAGGCAATTCAAGTTCTTTCTGCACAATCTACTCCGAAGTTCAGTCGCCAATAATAAGGAAGTCATGCTTTATATTGAAGCAGATTATAATTAAGTACTTTGAGTTTTTCAATAGCATTCTTTTATCAAGTTTTATTTAACATTTGTTTGCTTGCACCTGTGTTTTTGTTGTCTATTCGTAGTAAAGAGTTATACCCGCAGATATTTAGACAACATATTCTCTGTAAAGGAAGAAGGTTTTTCTTTTCTTATTGTTAATATTTTTCTATCTGATGGCAATGTTCCTTTAATTGGCTCTTTCTTATATATGGACCAATCTAATTAAGATATAGACGTCTGATTTCGTTATATAACTTATATGTTCGAGCACGCGAGTTAATATACGTCTGAATTTTAACCAGATAGGTACATTTCTCAGATCGTAATTCATGTTCATGTTTGAATTAGAGTCTCATATTTCAAAGAATGTACCTTTTTATAACTTAATATAAATAAGAAGATGTGGTATGAGTGCCAATGAGTTAACTCTCCATCCAAGTCACTATGTATAAAAAGTTAAAAATTATAGGTCAAAGTATGACATTTACCACGGAGCCTTGGCTCACACCGAACAGCAATAAAGGGCCCAAAATGACTAGTGTGAAACAATTCAAACAGGAAAACCAACGGTCTCCAATCTGGAACAGGTCAGTCATTTTCTGGCATTGCACGGGGAAATTTTTGTATTTACCATTTTCAACAGTAATATAGATATCAAAATTTGTAAAAACACTTTACATGTATCTTATATTATCACAAATACAACGGACATAACGGACATAACGATCATTTAAGTTATGATGACGTCCGTAAACTTGATTTTCGAAGGGATGACCTAAACTTTACCACAAAGAACCCTTCATCCAATAGCTTCCTTGTAAGCAGTGACCTTTTATCAAGAAAAAAAATATTGATAGGAAACTCAATCCCTCGCATATCGTATCAAATAAGAGGTATACATGTATACTCCATAGTGTATGCCGGTACTGCTGGGAATGTTGCTACACAGAGGAGGAAAATTCACAATAGGAAAATTTCAATCATCTCTTTTGTCGAAAAGTGTATGTACAGATGTGAGTAAATATATGAGGCAGACTTTACTGTGTTTGTAAAATCCTTTATTTCCAGTTCATTGTGATACATGTAGTCAAAAATATTCAGTGATAGAACATCATCTATATAGCGGGAAGTGAAGGATAACGCCAGCTTCTTTTAATTTTTATAGGGTGATCGGGTATGAGTCTGCCTCATGGAAAAGGAACAAGTCGCCAATCAGTGGCATACTTAGTGCCTTTATGATAGGAATAGGGATTGTCTGTTGAAAAAAAAGCGTCCTACAATCGTAACAAATAATAATATGTTGTCAATAATAAATCCAACATTTTTTAACCATTTTTAAAAATTAACACACTGAGAATAAAAAAAACCCTAAAAACACACACTGAGAATTAAAAATCACACACTGAGATTTCATAAAGACACACTGAGATTACAAAAAAAATGAAAAACACACACTGAAAATTTAAAATCAAACACTGAGAATTGAAAATTACACACTAATATTCAAAAAGACACACTGAGATGAAATAAACTGAAAAACGCACACTGAGAATTTGAAATTACACACTGAGAATTCAAAATTACCCACTTTTTATGAGCACCGATATTTAATTAGCATACTAAATCTGAATCTACCACAAGCTTAAATCAGCTAGGTAACAGAACTCGTTAGTCTTTTCAATTTTGCGCCAAATGTTCTATAAAAAAACCATTAGAAATACAATGTAAAGAAAAACTGACTTATTACAGACCGATAGAACATGATACCCACTTACTCTCATTACAAAATATAATCAAATAATTTAATTTTGGATGTAACGCGTCTTCTGATTGGCTGACGTTGTTTTGTTTATCAGCTCATAGACATAATTTTGTCATGTGACCGTGACGTCATCAACGTTTTTTCATGGTTTACTACGGTTTAAAATGGAATTTAGAATCAAATTATAAGAAATGACTGTACTATTTTTTCTGTCTATTCGAAATAACATAAAAAATGTGGTGCACACTTTAAAATAACCCGCTACGCGGGTTATTCAGTGTGCACCACATTTTTGATGTTATTTCTTCATAGACAGAAAAAATACTACAGTCATTCCTTAAATGGTGAAAAACTTTATCTAGTTAAAATTATAAGATAACATCGGAACAATCGGAGTTCGGGAGTCCACGAAATTAATCTGTTGAATTATTCATCTCATGAATATTCATTAGTAATGTGCATAATAATCTCAGTGTGTATTTTTGAAATCTCAGTGTGTAATTAACAATTCTCAGTGTGTGTTTTTCAATTTATTTCATCTCAGTGTGTCTATTTAAAATCTCGGTGTGTAATTTTAATTTCTCAGTGTGTGTTTTTCATTTTTTTAAATCTCAGAGTGTAATTTTAAATCACAGTGTGTAATTTCGGTTTCTCAGTGTTAATTAGGTTTTTAAATCTCAGTGTGTTTTTTTTTTATTTCTCAGTGTGCAATTTTTTTCGAAAAAAGGGTTTAAACATAGTTTTGACGAGAACGGCTTGCAATAGATGTCAGTTTCAGTTGTAAGAAATCTTTTTGTTTTGTTGCTTCTTCTCTTTGGAATACATATAGTCTACCAGATCACCTTTCAGAACTTAATATGGTTGCACACATTTGAGAGACATTGTTCTGTATTGGAGTGATTATGCCTGACTGTTGTTCTGGGCTCTCGGTCATAAAACTTTACTCAATACTCGGCCGGGAGTACAAAACTTGTGCTCGAAACACCAAATCCAGGATTTTGATTGGTTGATTTCTGAGTCTGAGTAGGAAAATCGAGATAGAAAGTTTTATGACCGCGCGGCCTGGTTGTAAATAATTCGATACATTCTCAAGGGGTTTTGTGTCCTACTTAGCTTGCAATTCAAAATCTAAGTTTCATTATGCAATTTTTAAATTCAATTGTTCTTATTGATTATCTTAGTGCTTTTTCCTCTGTTTTGCGTGCGCTAGAGTTGTCACGGCTTGTTTTATTATAATGTAATTTCATGCTGTATTCTATTCAAAGTGTTTTATTGTTCAAGTTGAAACATCGATCGTTCATTTAAACAAAAGGATAGACAAAAGACAAAGCCTACACTAATCCTCATCTCACCCAAAATCTTATCTATTTCGTTACATTAATTGATTGCATTACTATTATTTCCGTTTTTGCTATACTTTGTAGTGCGTTGTTTATATAGTTTGTTAATATTTTAATACAGGTACGGTATGGTGCGTTGTTGAAAAAAAAAATGTTTTGGTCTTTATTTATATCTTAAATGATTTTATTGAGTAACAATCTTACTTTACCTTAATTGACAAAAATATCCCAATGAGGGATAGTGTTGAGACTGACGAATACTGTTTGATGCATTGTGGGAAATGCCGTTGCGACAACAACAAAGACGCCTTACTGATTTTAAAAGCAATATTTACACAAGAAGAAAAATTTAGCAGTTTAAAGGTAAACTAAAAAAAAACCTCATCCAATCAAATTGCTTAAGATTCAAATACAATGACCGTTCCACGTCATAATAAGCATTCAGGGTAAACTAGGTAGGGAGACAATGACAGATAATTTAAGTTCTTTTCTTTTGTAATAACGAATATTTGCGTATTAAAGGCAACAGAAAGCTTGGGCTTTAAAACTACATAAATCATTTCTATAGACACTGCCAATCATTCTGATTGGTATAGTGGTATTGTCATAAAGTGCGTCGAAATGAACCGTGCTAAAGCAAACATCGAATTTCCTTACAAAATATTACCACACTCTATAACGGTTTGTAATAAAGAATCGGGCAAATGGTAACGTTTATAGTTTTTGGAAATTCATAAAGTATTAATATAATTGGTCTCAAATATACAGAATAAGTTATTATTCTTTTAAATAGTAAAATACAGTTTGTCGTTCAGACTCCTTCCGAATAGCCAATATTGGTATATTACCTTTTATTCAGATTAGATTATTGATTGAGACAGAATGATTATTTAGAATGACAACTATCTTTGACGTCTTATATATATGCTAGATAGATTAAACAAATTCAGATTTGATTTTCCTAGTTGTTCAACAAACTGTCTTTGTGATAATACTTTGACTATGCTATATATTACATTTTTGAAGAGCCGTAGAGCGTAATAAGTAGAATGGACTCTTATCCAAGAATAACATGGAATGTGAAGAATGAGAGTCATTTTCGTTTTTGAGCCTAATGCTCGGGAAGATGAAACTATTTTCAATCAGTTTAGAGGGTATTATCTATCCATCCCATGTCCTAAGAACAAATTTTAAATTATGGCGGGCACAGGTATCCGCAGCAGTATTTATGGCAAGGTATAGCAACGTTATAGCCAGGATTATAGTCAGAATTATGACCTCTTTTAATTGAATTGCCTCGTTGCGCCACGGGAAATAAGTGTTTTATGTTACATCTTCTTGAGCCTCTGGCTCCATTTCTTGAATGATTCCCATCCTTCACATTTCAAGTTATGCTTTGATGAGAGTAAATTATTATTTAGTCTAGGGCCCATGTATAAGTTGTGTATTTTTTATTGAATTTAATTATTTCAAAGGGTAATATTTTGACAATTACATTAGTGGACCCTTTAACGCAAACAACAGTACAGTTTTAACATTAGAGATTCAATTCTATTCTATTCTACCATATAATGACCGCCTTCAACAAATTGAAGATTATTTCACAGGAGGAAACTTACAACAAGACATAGATTGATATATATACAATCTTTAAAAAATACGAAAAAAATATAAAAATGCTTTGTATAATTAAGTATGATGTAATAGTTGAGTTAATATTGATGCTTTGAAAATGAAGATTTGAAAGAGTCTACTGAAGTGCAATTTACAATGTTCTCCAGTAGTTTGTTCCAGTCGGTAATAGTTCTTGGAAAATAGGATTCTTTTCTGTACTACAGGATGGAATTTGGAAGCTGTTCGAATTTGAATGTCTTGTTTGTCTTTTTTGTGGGATTCATTTATTATTTTTAGGTATTGCAACCTTTTCGTGTTCAATTTTATAAAGCATTACCAATCTTGAGTCTTTTCTTCTGTCAGAGAGGCTGCGCCATTCAAGATGTTGTAACATGTTACCAACGCTTGAGGTGTTTCTGTATTTGTTGGTAACAAGACGCGCAGCCCTCCTTTGAACTTTTTCAATGCTATCTAAGTCTTGTTGTAAGTATGGATCCCAAACAGAGCAAGCATACTCTAGTGATGGTCTTACTAGGGACCTATATGCTTGCTCTTTAATTGATGTTGAGCTTATGTTCAGGTTCCTCCTTAGAAAGCCTAGGGTGCTATTAGCTTTCTTGCATATGTTGTTTATGTGCACATCCCATTTAAGGTTGGAACTGATGGTAACCCCCAGATATTTTGCTGTTGTTACATGTTCTAATGAGTGATTGTGTAATGTGTAGTTAAATGTGATTGGTTTTTTATTTCTGGTGACTGAAATTACATTACACTTATCTGGGTGGAATGCCATTTTCCACATAGTTTCCCACGATGCCAGTTTGTCAAGATCTTTTTGTAATGTGGATGCTTCGGAATTTGATTTTATTGCCAAATACACTATTTTGTCGTCTGCAAATAAACGTACTGTAGATGTAAGACCAGTTGGAATGTCGTTAATATAATACAGGAAGAGACTTGGTCCAAGAACTGACCCCTGTGGAACCCCTGACTCAACTGCAACATACTCAGATTTTTCCCCCTCTAGAACTACTGCCTGTTTACGATTGCTTAGAAAATTTTGTATCCAGTAATTTAATTCCCCCTGTATCCCGTAATGGTGAAGCTTATTAGTTAGAAGAGAATGTGAAACTTTATCGAATGCTTTAAAAAATCCATGACCAAAATATCTGTTTGTTTACCGTTTTCCATGTTAAGTGAGACATCATCTATAAATTCAAGTAGTTGTGTTTCGCATGATCGACCTCTGCGAAATCCGTGCTGTAGGGGATATAAAATGTTGTGATTATCTGCATGTATCATGATGTGTTTAACTACTATGTGTTCTAAAAGTTTGCAACAAATACATGTGAGAGATATAGGGCGGTAGTTTTCAGGGTTATATTTTTGGCCTTTTTTGTATACAGGAGAGACATGGGCAGTTTTCCAGTCATCTGGAACAACACCTGTTTTAACTGACTTCTCAAAGATAATGGTAAGTATTGGTGCAATTTCATGTGAAAGTTCTTTTAAAAATCTTGGTTTAATTTCGTCTGGTCCTGCTGCTTTGTTAGGATTTAAGTTATGTAAAAGTTTTTGTATACATTCTGTTTTTATGATTAATTTTGTTACTGGTGGAAAAAGAGTATTCTGTGGCATGTTACACTGTTTGACAAATTCTTTATGGGAGATATTTGATGCTGGTGTGAATACAGACTGGAATTGTGCGATAAGTGCCCCAGCTTTTTGTAGTGGATCAGTTAAGAGTTTGCCATCTTGTTTAATTTCAGTAATACCACTATAATCAGTTTTTTTTAATGTTTAATATAGGTCCAAAATTTTTTCATAGTGCCAAAATTTGTTCCATCTTGTGGTGGTAGTATGATGCTTTCAATGTATTCCCAGTATGATTTTCGTATACATTTCTGTACCTGGTGTTTAACCTCTTTGTATTTTTTAGTAAGAGATGCATTCCCGGATTTTTTTGATTTTTTATAAAGTCTATCTCTTTTTCTAATGAGCCGTTTTGTTTCCATTGTGATCCATGGGTGACCGTCCTTTGTTTTTGCTGTTTTATGTGGGATGTGATCTTTCACTACTTTTATTATTGTTGCTTTAAAACAGTTCCACATTTCATTTACACAAAGATGTTGCTGGTTTTCAAAGAGATGTTTATATGAAGTGTTTATTTCTTTATAATTGTGCTCCAATTTGCTTTTTTATATAATGGAATTATTCTAGGCTTTTGTTTAAGTTTTGATGAAGCTATTGCTAATTCGGCAAACACAATATCATGATCAGATAGGCCGGGAATAACTTCAACACGCTTGGTTGGTAAGTTTGTAATTATCAGATCAAGAATATTGTCTTTACGTGTAGGGACATCAACAATTTGGGTGAGACATGTGTCGTCAAGTGAGTTGCCAAAGAAGTAATGAAGGTGTGGGTAATTAGTGTTTGGTTTTAGTGATCTGTTGTTCCAATCCCAACCAGGGAGATTAAAGTCTCCCCTATAATAAGCGTGGAATTTTTTTTATTTGTGTGGCTTTTCTTATCATTAAGTCAAAGTTTATGAGACTAGTTTCGTCAGATATTATACATTTAAGAAGAGCGATCGAACCTGATGAAGGCATAAAAAAGATATAAAAAAGAAATAAAGGAACATTTAAAACTAATGAGTTTGAGCCCATTTTGTACTTCAATTATATGTTTTGGCACGGTAATTAGCACATTCAAGTATTTTAATTCATCTTCATCATCCGTAAATTTACGACCAATTTAGACTAACATTATCTGGAATGTTTGACGATAAAGATGCATAAAAGAAAAGCATGCAATGTTTCATAGTTTAGAATAGTTTAAAACAAAATTAAAATGAACCCACAAAAGATTTTGTCAATCTCAAAGTGTAATAAAGTGTTCAAAGATTGAAGCAAATAATTATCTGATTTTGTCTTCTTTCATAAACATTTTTCAAATTGATTCTTATAAACAGATTCGTTGTACTCACATGTGCTGTATGTAGTCAAAATACTTATGAACAGCATTTTCCAATACAGATGCAGCAAAGCGATTACCATATTGTACAATATCTATAATAATAGAAGATTTCCAAGCAATTCTTTTTTAATTAGATACTTAATTATTCGAAAATGTTCCTGTTATTATCACAAATAATTAATTGATGAGTTTAATTTTCTTTGTCTATTGAATTGTTAGACATATAGCTGGGTAAAGATTTTAGTTTGTTTATCATGTTTGATTTCCTAAGAATCAAAATATCTGTTTATCCCATCCTACTTTTTGTTCCTTATTTTAAGCAAGGACAATTTCGTGAAAATAAAAAAAATGATATTTACGGGGTAATTTTGGTTTGATTGACCACAGTTATGTCCCAATCGCAAACAACGGTCTAGATTGTCACAATTTAATTGAACATTTCATAATATGAAAATATCTTTGATTTTATTGATGATTATTGTGGTTGTACTGAAATAAAAAAAAATGTTACAAATTTGCAGTATTGCATACCATTAGGTAAAGATGACATTTTCCGTTTGATAATCTCATCTTTTGAATACTACTTTCTATGTATATAATATTGGGAATGCATTTCCATTGGAATTGTTTTATTCTATTTCAAATGTAAGTTTTTTTTCCAGATTTAAATCGTGCCCAAAACTTTCTTGCTATTTATTTTGACATTAAGGTACTTTATCTTTATTAATTATGTCTCGAATATGTTTGATATTCAACTCTTTAGGTTTGATATTTTTGTCGTTTTTATCTTATATGAAAATTTCATCAGAAAGTTTCAATTCTATGTTCGTATTTCCATTAATATTTCTACCAGTTTTTAAGAATTTGTATGAAATCGATTTGTGTTGAACTTTAACTCGTGAAAATTCGGATATACAATTTTTTTTTTCAACTATAGAAATGCAAGTATAAAATTCGTTGGTTTCTTAATTCCATATATCTTTGATGAATTTATGTGACTTTTACCTCAGGCAAAGTTGACCTTAGATGGATTTGGCTATTTGTTTTAGGTATTTTTGTCATATAGCTCTTCAACTGTTTCGGTACTTATACATCCCTCGGATTTCAAATGATTGGCTTTGAGCGTTCCTGATGAAGGTAAATCCAGAAAAGCGCTTCGGACGCATGAAATTATTAAACGTGTTGTTTTCAATTTTTTAAGAAAGGAAAAAAAGACAATGGCTAATTTCGGAATGAAAGTTTTGAATTAACAACTATTTTTGTACTAAGTACATCTGTTTAGATTTTGGGTTATCGCCAGTCTTTAGAGAACAAGAACATGTATAGATTACATAAAAATATTGATCATTATAATTTTAATCAAATTGTCGAAGCCAATACTTGCAAATCGCATTATATACGGTTTACCAAGGCATGCATACTTGAAGGTAATTTATTAACATCATTAATTATTCTACGGATACACGGAAATCGGTGATAAATATCATTACATTCCTGTTTAATATAAAAAAAAAAAAAAAACGATGTAATATCATTGCCAATGAGATAACTATTCACGAAATGACTACCTCCAATATGCCAAACGCATACTGTATCATATAGTTACCTAAAAAATCTTGATATTAAAAAAGAAATAAAAAATAATTCAAACAAAACAAACAACCTTAAGCTTTTTGTAAAGACAATGAAAAAAACCCAAAATATTCGTGTTGTTTAAAATTCTAAAATAAAAAAAAATAATATTTTGTCGACAACTAAACTTTTCTTATAACTGAATTACAGTAGCACTTATAACATTGTTGGCTCGTAAGAACTTATTTTCATAATCTTACTTTATAACAGCCGACAATTGTCAGCCACACAACGGGATGTGTCATTTAAATTGCATTCTTGTTCTATTTCAACATTATAGAAATTTATAACTGTTTATTCAGTATATATATGTAACAATTAAATGACACATGATGATTCTGATCTGATTTTAAATTCAAATCAAAGTCACTGTAAAAAAGAATTGAGATAAATACGTAGAAAGCGTCGAAGATACAAAAAAGTAAAATAACAGAAATACCGAACTCCAAAGAAAATTCAAATCGGAAGGTCCCTTATAAAATGGCAAAATCAAAAACTCAAACACATCAAACGAATGGAAACAACTGTCATATTCCTGACTTGGTACATGCATTTCCTTATGCAGAAAATGGTGGATTAAACCTGGTTATATAGCTAACTAAACGTCTCACTTGTATGACAGTCGCATCAAATTCTATTATATTGAAGACAATTTGTGAACAAAATAAATAGACATAATAGGTATAAAAGGTGGAAGTTGGACCTGTTAAAACGTTGAAACTAGCTACATTTGTATGCACCTGTTCTTAGTCCTAAGTCAGGAGCCTGTTGTTTAGTGGTTATCATTTGTTGGTGTGGTTCATAAGTGTTTCTCGTTTCTAGATTTTTATATAGATTAGACTGTCGGTTTTCCTGTTTCAATTGTTTTACACCAGTCATTTTGGGGCCCTTTATTGCTGTTCGGTGTGAGCCAAGACTCCGTGATGAATGCCGTACTTTGGCCTATCATTGTTTACTTTTTATACATTGGATTGAGAGTTGTCTCATCGGTACTCATACCACATCTTCTTATTTATATTATATATAATAGGTAAAAATGTCAAAAACAGGAAGACAGCAGTCAACATTGTGTTATCATCTTAATCACTATAAAAACAAACAAATGTAACGAAGAAGCACAAAAAAGTCATACATCAAATTAAACATCCTCATTTTGCTTATATTATACGATTTTATTTATCTATGAAAATCCACCCATACACGATCGAATCGAACAAGTTGAGATACGCTAACACCATGAGATGATGTCAAGGGAATTTCACCTTCTAGAAATGGATAATTAACAGTAAAAAATGAAAAATCGTCTCTTTGGTCGTAAATTTTAGTATTAAGCTTTCCGTTAAAGATATTGATATCAAGATCAAGGAAACGACAGTGTTCATTGTTAGTTTAAGTTTTATTTAAAGTAAGTTCAACAGGACACATATTTTTAGTTTACATGTTTAGAGCCAATATCTCATCCAAATATCTAAATACAGGAATCAGTAGTATACCGCTGTTCAATAGTCATTAATCGATAAGGCGAAAAAAAAAAGAGTTACAAACTTAAACCGAGGGAAACACATCAAAAATAAGAGGAAAACAACGGAACAACAAAAACACTGAACTGTAACAACAACAAACGCCAACATACATAGAAACGGACTACTTACTAACAAATTTAAAAGTGTTCATAAATGTTTGCATCAGATATTGTTTTGATTGATCTTTGCTGATTTCAGTCATAAATTGTAATTCGTTACAAGACAGAAAAAGGAATTAAATTGAAATATATTTTATCTTTAAATACAAATAGATTAGATTGAAGTAAACAAAAAAACTTACTTTTGATCCAAACGTGTATTGTTTGATGATTAATGTATATGTATGGTTTAACGTTGTAATTATCACTTTTAGATTAAAGACTGAGGACAGATGTCAAGAGGGAAGGAAAAAGTCACCGATTCAACCATCAAAATACTTTGCCTATACTTAACAGTAACGACTAGTTCAGTCAGTTTTCAATTGATGATGCAAGTAGTAATTATTAAACTTAACTAGGTCAAGATCTTTATACATATTTAGTCAAGCGTTCTACCTTTGGAATTACACTTGTGTTCAGGTTGTTTTGCTCATTTGTATCAACGACAGAGCCAAAAGCGAAATATGCGTCTTTGTTTTCCTATTTTTGCTTCTTGTTGTGCATACTTCATTAATGAAATCATTTGTAAATTAAAGTTTTTAAAGTGTTTAAAGTTATTCAATTAAGACTAGCTGTATGTAGGTCCAATTCATGTAGAAATGTTTCACTGTATATAATTATAAGCAAAACATCTTCTTGTTTGAGTATATTAAAAACCGAAGGAATATTCAAACTCATAAATCGAAACAAACTGGCAATGTCATGTCACAAAACGAATAAGACGAATAGACAAAGAACAATACACAAGACACAACATAAAAAAACTGAAGACTGAGCAACTCAAACCCGACCAAAAGCCGGGGAGAACTCAGGAGCTCTGGAAGGGTAAACATATTTTTATTTGTTGCATCCGTCGTGTTGCTCTTGTAAGTACAAACCCGGTGATGAATCTAATTTGGAAAGTCACATTCGATGGTAATGCGACGGGATTGTGGTTACGACTATCCGTCGTCGTCTGTGACACAGATATTCCATAACGTCAAACTAAGTATTTTCGGAGGAATGATTTCAACTTTACCATTTGGAACTGTTGGATAGTCTAGCTACTAACGTTGTTTATTATCTTAAGGTGGCACCAAACACCTTGACTGAAATTAATTTCGCTCGTTTAATTTTCATAAAAGTTTGACAAAATATTTACTTTGACCCTTTGACAAAAATATTAAAATTTAAAAAAAATTGAATCACACACTTTATCGGAAAAATTTCATTGGATATATAGCAGTTTGACAAACACTACTTTTGATCATTGAGAAGCTTAATATTTCCTAAATAAAAGAACGTGATTAAAACGTTAAGCTGATTTTTATAGAGTTATCTCCCTGTAGTGTTATGTACCACCCTTATTACGTGTTCTATTTTTCTTTTTATTTGATATTGTATATAACATTGATTGTTTAGTCAATTTTTGGAAATATCCTTTCGGCGTTATTCGGTATCTATGCATCCCGTCAATGTTAATGTGCTTTGGCCATTTTTTGTAGTCTTATCTTTCATTTTTGCTTATATGCTTATCTATAGAGTTTCTAGGGACCATTTTGTTTTTCTTTGTTGACATAGTTGTTTATGTTTTGAATGATTAAGATTATAACACAATATTGACTGCAATACCCCAATTTTTGACATTTTTATCTATTATGTCTAATTGTTTTGCGCACACATTGTTGTCAACATAATGGAATTTTATGCGACTGTCAAACAAGTGAGAGGTTTAGCTAGTTATAAAACCAGGTTTAATCCACCATTTTTTACATAACGAAATGCCTGTACCAAGTCAGGAATATGACAGTTTTTTTCCATTCTTTTGATGTGTTGGAGCTTTTGATTTTGTCATTTGTTAAGGGACTTTCCGTTTTGAATTTTCCTTAGAGTTCGTTGGTTTTGTTATTTCAAGATGGTATTACTTTCACAACAAAACTTAAATTAGTTTTAAGTCGACTTCATGTTGAAAATTGACACTGTCGGTGACATTCAGGTGTATCTGTCTCGAAGCATATGTTTAGCATATCATGCAACCAAGTAGGCCATTAGATGTGACGCAGTTGATACCATATATTGTTGAACATTTAAATCTAAGTTGAAGATTTCGAAGGGTCCCAGGCCGCCCTGTATAGTAGTCAAATATTAAATTCAACATTCAGGAACCGAGGGGCACAATCACGTCTTATGATTCAACAGTAAGTGTTAGAGGCGGATCCAGGTTTCTTTTTTAAAAGAGTGGATCTAATTCTAAATAACAAAATATATAGAGCAATGCGAAAAAATAATATGACGATTCTATGCTAAAATTGATGTATTTTCCAATCAAAGGGCCATACATCCTCTATTCTGAAATTATTGACCTTTGATGAAAAGATGCCTTTACATTTTGAAAAAAATAATAGAAAAGGAGACATTTATGCTTGCTTTATTAAGGTCTAGAATCTTTATAATATATACCATTTTGTTTTATTTGTTTAAATAGTTATTTGTTTTATATGTGATTAAGATAATAACACTATGTTGACTGCTGTACTCCAATTCTTGACATTTTCACCTACCACGTCTATTTGTTTTTATTCACACATTTTTGTTAATACAATGGAATTCTATATGACTGTTATACAAGTGAGTGACTTAGCTAGCTTTAAAACCAGGTTTGATCCACCATTTCCTATATATGGAAATGCATGTGCCAAGACAGGAATATGACAGTTGTTTGATGTGTTTGAGCGTTTGATTTTGCCATTTGATGAAGGACTTTCCGTTTTGAATTTCCCTTGGAGTTCGGTTTTTGCGTTATTTTAATATTTGCTATAAAAAAAAATTTTTTTTCTAAGTAACACTTAAAGAAAAAAGTAAAATAACAAAAATACCGAAGTCCAAGGAAAATTCAAATCGGAAAGTCCCTTATCAAATGGCAAAATAGAATCTAGAGTTGTAACACGTGTATCACCTTCACTGGTGATCCCGTTGATGGTTCTGTCGTATAGTTGTCACTTGTTTAGACGTTCATATCAAATAATTGGTTCTGTGACTGCATCTTACGATCCTGTATGACATTTAATGTAGCTAATCTGCAATCATTTCCATCTTCATGCTTAATATACTATGTACTGTCTTACAACTCTATATTCTACTGACAAGGAAAAGTAACACTAGGCCACCGAAAGCTGAATTTTTAGTTCAGTCTAGGTGGCCGAGTGGTATAGAGTGCTGGACACAGAGCAAGCGGTGTTGTCACGATATCCCAATAATATGAGTTCGAATTCCGGCAAGGAAAGAACAAAAATTTGCTTCCGCAAATTTGCAGATTTCACATTATTGTGCTGATATTTAGAGTAATTATGTAGGACTCGGAGGTGCGATGGGGATGCTGTATTGCGATTGTCACGCTGAAGTCCGATGGTCTGCGCCGAAGTGCGATAATCCTTTTGCTTGCGTGCGATAGTCTATAAGATGCGCAATGGCCATAGGGTAAAATATAGAGCCCGTTTATCGTCTATGTGCATTACAAAAAAATTGTATGCCCTACTATCAAACGGCATACGTTTTTTTTTTAAATTCACGTAGACGATTAACGGGCTATATATATGTCTGTAGTCAAGTCCTTATGGTGATGGCTAGTTTAAAATTTACAGATGTTCAATTATCATGAGAGCTTAATGTTTATGAATACCAAACATTCAACATTTTCTACAGTTGCATTAAAAAATTCACAGGTGATCTATCTTTTTCCTTGTTCTTCACAACAGCCGAATACATTTTTCGCTTAATTTGTTTTGTTCTGACTAACTAAGAAGTATTTGCATTTCAAAAAAAATACCACACTTTTTTTAATCATTGTAATTATTACTGCCATTTAAAAAAATTGTAGCATCAATTTCTGAACGATTAAATAAACAGCTGCTTTTTTGTCTAAGCAATTAACAAAATATAATGTGAACTACAGCGTTACAGAGAGAAAAGGTTGGTAGAAGTTAACATTTTGTGACTGGGTAAGGTGACATGTCGTCCTGCTAACCTTGTGAACTAGCACGTTAAAAATCCGGCTCAGCGTGTAGGTCTAGTACAAAACAGGCTAAATATTCATATTACATTAACATGTTCTCGTCCTGATTATGCATATTAATTAGTTGCTAGACATTTAGCAGCCATTCATCATCATCAATTTATATATATTTGGTCGGTGTAACAATAGAACTATACCACTTTGAAAATCTATAATCGTTTAGGTGATGTTGGTGCCGTCAGGATGTTCTTATATTGAGATATATTTCACAAAACGTTTCATTTTCATACCCCGCTACGAAAGGAAGGAGGAATAAGCTATTTTACGTCTGTTAGTCCGTCCGTCCAATTTCGGCGGCATTTTTCTAAGGAACTACAAATCCATGTGTCCTAAAATTATCCATTAAGATACATGTGCATGTGCTGGATAAATGATGTGATGAATTTTCAGAATCGTCGTTCATCAAATTTCTGTTTACTGCTTACATATATACTCTTACACATAATAGCATATATGAAATCATGATTGCATTTTTCTCAGGCACTACAAATCAGAGTTTCTAGGGTATCATAATTTATGTGAGCTTGCTAAACTGCATGATTCATTTTTTAGATTCATCACATAACAACTTTCTGGTTTTATCTTTGATATCATATATTCCTGCGCATGATGACCAGAAGGAACTTTTATCGAAATATTAATAAAATATCTATTGTTGACTATATAATTGTAAACAATTGGTTTTTGAAAAAGTGAAAAATATAGATTTGTTAATTCTATTCTTAAGTAGTTTGGCAGAAAAACGTTATTAACAAAAGTGATAATTTTCCATTGATTCCTGTAACTTACTTTTCAACAACCTTAACTCAATTTCAAAGGATATAATATGTGGCAAAAGCAATTTTATGAACAGTTAATATTGTTGGAATCACTAACTTCAATATGATGTGGCGAATATTGATATTCGTCAATGCTGTAAAACACCCATTAAGTGTTCCTTATTTTCAGTGAGATCGCAGGATTCTTGTTATGTACAACAGCTTTTATGTAATAAATGTACAATAGAATGAACACACACATGGACTCATCATACGGGTATTCTATTTATCGAAATATACTAAAAATGTACCGATTTTTTTCATGTTCTTCTTTTGTATGTACAATAATAAATTTTGGAGATAAAAAAATCAGCAAACTATGCTAACTAACTAAACTCTATACGATTCAAACGACTAACCTGTATTATACACTTGGAAATTAAACGGATATCAATAAAAACGTAAGCATAAAGAAATAAAGAGTCTCATATCAAACATAATACAAGCACGTTGAATCAGAAAAAAAGATGCTCTTCCATCCTCTTTTCGTAGAATAACAGCTTGGTAGTCCCCTATGATGAGATATCCGACACAAAATTTGGAAAAAATAAAATTTGTAAAATTGATAAAATGTGTGCTACTAGACTGATTTCTATGGGATTTATCTAAATGTATCAAAATGTTTTGCATGATAGATTGATTGATGTTTGCTTAAGTAAATGTCCAGTGGCAATTATT